CCTAAAGCTGGGACCCTTCCATTCTCCAGAGCTGCAATTGCACGCTGGATTAGCCTGGCTGAAAGGAATAGCTCTGGTAAACACTTGAGCAATTTACCAAGCTTGGTAGTAAATGTAACTTTACCATGTAGGTATCGCATTCAAGGATGCTGCAAATGCTGGAAGAAGGCTGTGTATCTGCTTTCCTATGCAGGGAGATGAAAACCAGCTAAATAACTATGTGATGACAGATAAGGAGGTATTGATGGGCAGGACCTAGAAAACAAGGGAAAGAATATACCACTTGTGATGAGAGAAACGCACACAATGCTGGTAGCCAAAGTTCAGCTAAGGGAAGCAGGTGAGCCTGGGGATGCCTGTGTACTACAGGGAACCTCAGAGATGTGATGGTGGGAGGAGATCCAACCTGTGGCTCAGTCAGGTCACCATGATTTTGTCCAACCAAGTCTGGAAACCCTCCATGAGTGGAGATGTTGTTGTTTCTGGGTACCTGATCCAGTGCTGCATTTCCCTTCTGGTAAAAAAGTTGTTCCTGAAGTTCTACTTGAATCTGCCAAGCTTCAGCTTGTTGCCAATTCTCTTTGTTATATCTCCTGCTACTATTGAGAAGACATTGGTTCCATTGCCTTTGTGACTACCTTATAAATATCAGTAAGGAAGAAATACGGGCAACTAATATGAGGTATAAACTAGTTATCATGCAAGTAACAGAAATATGGCAGAATAAAAGTCAGCCCTGGAATTAAAATATTCTGCTGTTCAGGACTGCTACAAAGGAAGATAAAGATAGTGAATTAGCATCACATGAATGATGTTATAGGCTGTTCAGGTGAAACTCAGAAAGTTTAAAGAGGCATTTCTCTGGTGCAGCTCAGAGTCAGCTGTGACCTGCTCAAGTTCATAACTGGCTATACAGGGAGAGAGCTAATATTAAAACAGATAAATCCCAGTAAGAACTATGCTGCCATAGGGAAACTAACTTCAGAGTTATAAACCAGAGAATAATCTCTCATGATAATCATGGGCCTTAGGCCTATAATTCTCAACATGACAGATGACAAATTCCTTCATAAAACCATCATTGAACCTACAAAAGATTTGTTAGTTGTAAATAGCAATTAAGTCATAGAGCAGGCGGTCATCAAAAATAAATGTGGAGTGTGTGATCATAATTTCCTTACATATAAATAAAGTGGGAAGCTAAATAAGAATAGGCCTCTACTGTATACACAGGTTTTGTTTCCAAAGAAATTGAAACCCCAGGAATTAAGAAAACTCTTTAACATGGACTGTAATGGTAAGGAAACTGGATGTGAAAAATGCCCAGAAGGTCTGAGAGAGAAGCACAGTGGCTATGAAACTTGCACCCCAAGTAAAGAAGGAAAAATCCATCTGTAACTACCTGGATGAATAGCCACAAAGTGAAGGGTAGGGAGAGGGATCAGCAAAGAAAACTCTTCTTTAAATGTCTGTAGATAGAATGTAATGTCAATCTGGAAAACGAATTTTTAAAAGAAGAGAATGATTTTCTTCTAAATAAATAACTGACCCAGGAAGGAGAAAGCTGCTACGCAAAGAGGATGGGGTCAAAATAAAAAATAATGGTTAAAACTAGATACAAAATAACTATAAATAATAAATGCCAATAACAGTCTTCAACCAGGAAAATGACGTTGAAGAGTGGTGCAGAGGAAAGGAGCATAATGAATATGAGGGTACAGAACCTACCACACCTGATTCGAAAGCAAAGCAAACATGAATGTGATGAAACTAAAAAAAAACAAATTAAAACCTGGATTTTGCTGGGTGGTGGTTTGTTGTTTTTTTTAAACCATAATATTTTTTATTCTTATAAAAGCAGCAAGGAGTTACAGAGGTTTGCAAAATAACAAACACTGTTCACTTACACTTCACCTCATCTGTGCTCACTCTGTTTTGGGAGCTGGAGGCCTGGCAAGTAATTTCTTCCTCCAATCCAGACTTATACGTGTTAGTAGGTTACCTGTCCTTTCACCCCTTAAGAATTATCATCTGCCCCATGTTACTCTATAACATGGACAGGGAATTTCCAGTGCTTTCCTCAAGGAGAAGCAGTTATCCAGAAAGTCTGTTGCTGGCAGCAAATGATGAGCATACAAGAACATCAAAATTCCTGACCCTTTGTTGTTTTATGGTGGCCTCTGAGCTCATGTTTCAGCAATCCAGTGGCTGAATACTCTAACCCAGAACAGAGGCTCTGCCACAGAGTGAGGTCCACTGTGTGAATTACAGTTCAAAACAGACCCTGCATTTCAGTGAGTTCACCAGGCTCACCCAAACATCTTCTTTGTCAGTAGAAACCAGATAAAATACACTCTCTGTTTCCCTTATATCTCTGCTCTCCTAAGCATCGCTCCTATCCTCCTGGTGTCTGTTGAGTTCAACCATTTCTTCCTAAACCATTTGCAACTGCATCATCTCTTCCACATCCCACTTCCCTTCATTCCTGTGCTCTTTTACTTGTCTCCACTCGCCTCTCCTCATGACACCTACAACCAGGCATGTGTCCTTTATCCAAACCCATTACCTTTCCTATTTCCCATTTTTCTGCTCTCTTATCCTGACCATTTTTGCTCTGCTCTGGCCTCTCTGATTTCCACAATGCCACCATTTCAGTACCCATTCTTCCAACAAGAGGAAAGACCACAAAACATGACAGCCTGGAGCGCGTGGAATATTGCTCTTGCACTTCATGAGACTTGTGGGCAGCACAAACATGACCAAAGCCATGAAGGTCCAGAGTATGGCATTTGGACAGAGAGCAACCTCAATGCTCTTTGCACTTGGATCCCCTTTTCCAGTTCAAACTCCACCCCAGTGTTAAGACCTGTTTTGAAAAACACCAAATGTCCAGTTGCTTCTAATCAAGTCCTTCAAGCTGAAATTTAGGAAGAGTTTTAACTTTCCATTGGTCAAGTTATGACCTTAAACTAGGAGCCTAAGGACTTGCTGAACCCAAACCAAAGCCTCTCGCCTTTCAAGTAAGCCAGAGTTGGGCTCACCAAGATAAAAAGGGCAGGCAGATATAGTTCCTTGCAGCTCCCCAAAGCTTCTGCTGACTCTAATAATGAGCAGGACTGTCAACATTGAGCTAGCTTGGCATCCTTTAATTAACTGATTAATTAAATTGCATAGGACAACGGCCCACAGCTTTCCACTAGTGTTAAGTGAGAGATAAGAAGTTGCCAGGTGGGAACACACTGATATAAGGGTGATCTCCACTTCCCTGTGCAGCTTTCCCTCTTCCAGGATTAGGTTCATTAGACTAACCTGAAGATGACTGTGGATTATCAGCTTCCCCTGTATACGCTGAAGGTTACTTAACCAAATCTACATTTTACAGAAGTATACCTACCTATTCACGGTGGTGAATGTGTCTTTTTCTCTCTGTGAATTAACGGCCTGTGTCTCTCCAGCAGACCCCATAGCAGTACCAGCAGGAAAATGATCCAGTCTCCTAGATGTTGTATGTACATCCTGCCTGATCCCAAGAGAGAGAGGTTGCAATATTCCTATCGCTGACCCGCACCCTAAACCACCATGTTTGTAAAGGTTGCATCCTCCCTGTAGTCTGACTTTGGCACCTCAAACACAGGAAAGAAGCAGGGTCAGTGGTAATAAGGCTGGAACTGAAGTCATGAGATCTCCAGGAGCAAGGAGATAGAAGAACAAAAATCCTCTGTCATGAAGAGAAGGAGGCCAGAAGTGTAATAGCAGCAGTGGCAGTGAGACTGCCACTAAGGGTAAAACAAGCCCAATTCTTATCTAACACAAGACACAATTTCAGTGCAGTTACACCAATTTACAGAAAAGTGGCTGATCGGGTGAGATATGGTTCACAGATTGAACTTCATGGACTCTTACACCCTCCTCAAATGCTGAGTCACTCTGAGACCCTATTATTTAAGCATCTGTTTTGTTTGGCTTTTTTTTCACTCCTGAAATTATCCATAATTTTGGATAGCTCCATTTTTAACTACCCAGCATAGATACTGGCACCCAATACTTGGATGTACATTTGCATCTACCACGGTCTGCAGTACAGCTATGTGCTCGGCATCTTTCAAAATCAGGTACCTGATATGCGAAGGATGAGATCCTGATGTAGAGACCAGCCTAGGAAGTCTGGCTGGATTTTCTCACCTCTGTCAACTTCTCTGTGTAAACCAGTGATAATATCAGGTGACTGATGTTATATGGGATGTTCTGAGGACAGGTGACTTTTTGTGCGCAAATTTAAAGGATAGCCAGTTTGGTTTTGTGCAGTGGCTTAAGCCTTCCACTGACTGCTGCTACTCCTGCTCCTGGGATCAATCCCCTGACCCCACAATTCAGACAGTATGGTACTGAGGGCATATGTCTGGAGAAGAAAAATATCCTTGTATGGTTACAAATCTCACAGGGATCACTTAAGATGCAAGTGTAGACAAGGACGAGCTGCACTCAGCGTGGTTTTGATCACCACGCTGATTACCAAGCATTCAGCTCAGCTTCATCAGCAACCTTTGTCTGTAAGAGAAGGCTCCTTCTGGCACAGCTGCCTCATCCCAGATCTGCACCGAGACCAGGGATAGCAAATGCGGTGTGTGTCCATCCACGCAGGCCAGTTTTCACCCGGCCAGCGCAGGCAAGGAGAGTGGTGGTGCAGGCCAGCAGACGTCCCAGCTCCTGGCAAGGTTCTCCTGCCCGACATGGTGAGATGAAAGCCAGACCTCATATCCTAAGCTCGCGCTCCTGGCTACCAGCTTAAAAGAGAAAGGGGTGTGAGTCAGTGCCTCTATGGCCGTGCAGTGGCTTTAAGCTGTCAAATCAGTTTATGATGATTTCAGAGGAATCCCACCCACCACCACAACCATGGCATTTCTAACTAGCACCACTGAAATGGGTTTAAATAGTGCAGTAAGACAGACACTGCTGGGAACATGTCTGCTTTCTTTTCATCTGTTGCCTCAACAATCACATTCTGGTTTTAAATCAGTGTATTTATTAAAAAAGAAACCAAATTCTTATCACTTTTCTGCTCTGTAAGAAAGGGAAAAAATCCTATACTCCAGCCCATTTAACTGAAGCAAACGTTACCTGTACCATTACTGAATAGGTTGCTGAATGCCTTTTCTTTTACAGAAAAAAACAGTATGTCTTTGACATACTGTTCACAGTTGTTTGCAATTACAACTTGCAGTGTACAACTGCAACGCTGAGTAGGTAAGAAATTCTAAAAGTTGCTCTGAATATTTTTTGATGGCTTCAATGTATTTTGAAATAAACCAGAGGAAGTTATTAACTGAAAAATACAAGAAGTCACTTGAGCCCCTAAAACTGTTTACTACTTGTTTTTTTCTAACAAAGAGCATGTTGTCTGCTTTGGTTTGGTTTGAAAGCTCAGCTTTAGGTTTGTGCTCAACTAGGCACACTTGGATGAATCAGGGTCCTAAATGATGGTCTGTGGCTGGGCAGTGAATTCCTGAGTCCTCACTGGAGTTCTCATTAATTCACTTAATTCTGGGGGTTCATGTCTCTTTTGCCCATGTCTCAGAATTAGATTAGCAGCCCCTAGGTCTGTCAAGCAGGAGGGCATCTACCTGTGCTCTTAGAACTTGTCTTTCAGACCCCAAAACTAAGGTGTTTCAGACCTACGTACATTAAGTGATCTTGCTTCTCTCAGGGATGTGGTACAAGAACAGCACCCTACCTTCAAGGTTACGAAGATGCTGTTTTCAACCCAGATCCTTATTGCTTATTTTTTGGGATGCTGTATTCAGCAAGGAATGGAAACATAAACAGAAAGCACGTGCTATCAGTGAGCAGTGGGTGAAGTTTTAACATTGAAATTAATACAGGAAAAAACAAAAAGAAAATATGCAGGATGTTTCAAACACAGCTGGGGAGAAACCATTTTTGTACGTCCAACGGAGGGTTGGAAGCAACAATCTTTACACCCAAATTCCCAAATCTTTTTTTCAAGGGCCCTGAAAGGAGTGTGGCAGAGGCGGAGCAGGCTGTTCAGACTCTGCGCTTGAAAGTAGAAACCAAAGTCTGTTGAATCTGCTCTCTTGATTCACACATGCCCGTCAGCAGCACGGGGTCTGTCTTGTGCTCCACTTGGTAGAAGGGACAATTCTTCAGGTGCTCCGCCATGGACACGACGTCGTTGCGCTGCCACTTGTTAACTCTGGAGAACAGGCTGCTGAACTGCCAGATCTAATATGGGAAAGGGGAGAGAAATTGGGCAGAGAGAGAATGGATGTTGGAAAAAATAGGAGTTTGAAAATCTATATATGCTTGTAGTGGGGGTGCATCACTTGTACTGGGCAGGCTAGTGAACACGTGATTGTGCAGGGCTGGCATAGCAAGTGAAAATGGGGTCTGTACTGTTGTGGACCATGTACTTCCTGGTTTTGCTGCTTTAATCCTCATCTGCCATTTTTAATGGGAAAGTATCCTTCTACAGTTTTTGGTGTCAATCCAGTGCAGGGCATGAGCAAATCCAGGCCACTCGACACTGCACCTCTAGAGAAAACTCCATCACATGCACAGTGTGATTGATGCCAGATGTTTATAAAGCAAAGTGACTACAGCATGCTTGTGTGATACATATCTCAAAGAAACCTGCCTTCCAAAGCATCTATCAGCAACTTGAAAGTAATTAACATTACAACACTGTTGTTACCCCACCCAAGAAGCAGCCTTGGAAATCTAAGGGTAAAGTTATTCCTAGAGGACGTACAAGCTTGTAAAAAATAGAAACGTGCAGTTAAGATCTTCTGGTTCTGTTTGCAGTGATACAATGTACCGTTCAGTGGTAAGCTAGCATATAGTGATAAGACTGTGATTAGATTTCTTTGATATTTGCTGTATACCATTAAATCAAAATAATTTTTAAAGTCATAGTAGATTTCTTCTCCTTAAAGATGTTTCTTCCTGGGGAAGGAACACTCCCCTGGCATCAAGGGAGTGGAGCACCTCCTGTATGAAGGTAAGCTGAGAAAGCTGGGGCTGTTCAGCCTGGAGAAGAGAAGCTGCATGGAGACCTCATAGCAGCTTTCCAGTATCTGAAGGGGGCCTATAGGGATGCTGGGGAGGGACTATACATTAGGGACTGTAGTGATAGGACAGGGGGTAATGGGTTAAAACTGAAACAGGGGAAGTTTAGATTGGATATAAGGAAGAAGTTCTTTCCTGTTAGGGTGGTGAGGCACTGGAATGGGTTGCCCAAAGAAGTGGTAAATGCTCCTTCCCTGACGGTGTTCAAGGCCAGGTTAGATGAAGCCTTGGGTGACATGGTTTAGTGTGAGGTGTCCCTGCCCATGGCAGGGGGCTGGAACTGGATGATCTTAAGGTCCTTTCCAACCCTAACTATTCTATGATTCTACGATTCGGTGCTTAAGATTGGCTGACTCTGTCCTAGTCCTAAATAGTCATAGCTATTATAAACAGTAGCCCAGAAATTCAGGCTTAGTTACAAAGAGAAAGTTTTCAAGTGGAGTCTGCACTGGAAAAAAGATTCCTGTGGTCAGTACAAAGAGCTAATATGAAAAGCATTGACAGTCCTCAAATTCAATGCTGCTGGTTTGAAATTGTGCTACACTAACAACAGAAGTTAATTGCTATATAATTGCTCAGCTGGAATGTCTTCCTTTTACTGAAGGAAGCCACATCCTTTGGTAAATCATTTCAGTGGCTAATTCCTGTTGTGGAATGGGCTAATTCAACTTGCAGCCACCAGACGTTGTTACACAGATTATGAATTCACCATGCTTCATGTTTTCTCTCTTAATAAATAGTCATAAGCTGCTAAGCTTCCATTTGATAAGAATCGATAGGCAGAGATCTTCAGGGCTCTGCTTGAAAGCCAGGTCCTTAGATAGCTTCTGGGAGTCTTCCCTGGATCTCAAAAATATTTGTTCCTAGATTTCTGTCTTGTCTGCTCAGCCATGCTGAAGTCTCTCGTGTTATTCTTTTAAACAGCTTTATGTTAGAGCAGCTGCAGAGCTATCGGTTAGAAAAGAATCATAGAATCATAGAATAGTTAGGGTTGGAAAGGACTTTAAAATCATCTAGTTCCAACCCCCCTGCCATGGGCAGGGACAAACTGCAATAACTGTTGTTCAACTAGGACTAAGACTGAGCTGTGTTTATACATTTCTTTCAGAGTACATAAAGAGCCAATAAGGGTGATAATTTCCCAGCACAAACAGTGGCAGACCAGCTTTGTAGAGGGCAGCTTCCTATCACCATGCTGCTTCCTCAGGGCTCTCACAACCCAAGAGGCAGACTCTAGGGGTTGATGCCAACACTTTTCCTGGCTATGGCTCCTTGTTCTTTACCTTTTTGGTGGTCTAAAGCATGTTTTAGTTAGACATACCCTAGACAGGCTCGTAGAGAACAACCAAAAAAAAAAAAAAGTATGAATACCAAGTTCTTCGAAACTCCATGTGTAACCCTTAAATATCAGAAATTCTCAGTGCCTAAAAACAGTGCACATGCAAAAAGGTTACCCAAGACAAGCTTGAATGGGGGATTCCCACTAGTCAGAAGATATCCATTTACAACTTCCTATTTTCACTAGATGTACTACGTTTCACAGCCCTGATCCCTGACAACTATGGTGCAAATTCAAAACCTCATGAACATTCCCCACATCTGCAAGTTTACACACAGCATCCCTTGCAATGCGTGTGTTTTACCTGGAGAGAACCCATGGCTGTCTTTTTCCCAGCATCACAGTCACTTGCCTTTTTGCGAGCTTTCCACGAAGTACCACCATGGGAATATCGCTTTTTCTCCCAGACCAGCAGGACCATTCCCCTCTCTTGAAGAAGAGTGGCACAGATGTCCCTCATCAGCACTGACACTTGCGATAGCTGAGATAAACTGAAGCTGTCCAGGAACCCCGCAATGTACTTGAGCACTTCCACCGGGAGGCTGCTCAGCAAGTCCTTGTTTCTCCCTCGATTAGCCGCTGTGGGATTGAACTTTCCTGATTCAGCAAGGACAGTGTCTACCTCTGGCTTAATAGCAAATGACTTGAGAGGTTTGCTGTATATAACCTTGGCCTTAAGACCCTCAGGACGGAAGTGATTTTGAACAAAAGTACATCCCAAGTAGGCCAGTGGGCAACGATGCTGGAACCATCCATCCAGACATGACTGGATATCAGCGTGCACATTCTTGAAGTGGGATGGGAACTCGTCTCTCCTGAAGAAATGGCTGCAAGTGAATGTGAAAGCTGAACTGCTTTTGTTGTGTCTTCTGGTTACACATTCAGTGTAGAGCTCCACGTGCAGTTCTGGTGGGCTTTCTTCATCCAGAATGTCTGCTAGAACAGCACTGGAGGAGAAAGGCTCCAGGGGAAAGCTGTACGTTTGTGTCGCAAAATCCACAAAAAGTCCATCAATACCCCTTGCTTCGGAGATCTCATGGCCTTTCAGCTCTTTTTCCAGTGCACACAGCAGTGTGGCCTCAACTATATTTGCCTTAGGTAGATCTTCTGGGTTTATTCCCAATTCTGAGGTATCCACTGACTTGTCTGAAGTTGCTATCCTGTGGCCCAGTGCATCTCCTAGTCGTGCTCTTTTGCCACAGTAACTAACTGGCACTTTGAAGGTGTAGACAGTCTTTACTTCCTGAGCTTCCAAGTTCCCATAGACAAAGTCTTTTTCTTTGGGAGTGCAAGCAGCTAGCTGGCCAAAGCGAATAAGCATTCCCCCATGGTGGACCAGATACATGTTGTAATCACCTACACCAACTTCCTTCTTCAGCCTCTCCAGGACTCCTTCTTGCCAGGGAGCCAGTCCTGTCATTTCTGTAGTTGGTGTTACTTGTTCAGGCTTTTGGTCCTTTGCCTCTTCTGCACTCCCAGGTACTTCCTTTGCCTGCTCTGAGGAGCTGGCAGCTTGCGGGGCTGACCCTGTTTTCTTGGAAGCCTCCTCCGTCTTTTGTCCCGTGCTGTCTGCTGAGCTCGTTACCTTGCAAGCCAGGAGCTCTTTGCTGAACATATTCTCCCAGGTTTTGTAACTCCCCAGATCCATTCCCTCTTTGTCTTTTGCCAAATCTTCACGCTCACGTTGGCTGAGTTCAGACAACTGGTTGTCGCCTTCTTGGGAACCACAGGCTACTCCTCCCACTGCACCTTCTTCCCCACCTATGGCTTCGTCCGTTAGTTCTTGCACTTCATCCTTTTTCCTCCACTCTGGAAACAAATCAGCTATTTTCAAAGTCCTGAAAAGTATCTTCTGGTCTCTGAGTGCCAAGGCTGTGTCCAGACACTCTTCATTCAAGGTCTCCTTCATAATGTTCTTGTGGAGGGTTGTGTCTGAATCCACGTTGGGCCAGCGATTCCACTCCATCGAGCAGCAGACAACGCTGGCTGGACAGACCTGGAGGTGCTTCCCCAGCTTAAAGCGGGCCATGGAAAAAGGGCAGCCATAGGCTGAATTGAGGCAGGAGACCTGCTCTAAGGGACAGAGCAATTGGTGCTCCTCCTCCTTGCACATGTGGAAGGTGGCCCCACAGTGAAAGCGGCAGCTGATCACCATGCAGGAGATGGAGGGCTCAATCGGTGCGTGACAATGCCGGTTGAAACATCTCTCACAGTGCCTGTGCTGCCCAGGGGGAGCTTTCTGAGCCCGGTGCTGTGTGTAGCAAAGACAAGAAGACAACAGTTATTGCCTGAAGGAGCCACACATGGCCACAGACCCTCTGTGCCCATGCATGGTTTTTGCATTAGGTGCTCATATGCACTTCTAGAGGGAATAAGACTGTGGTCAAATGGCTGATAGCCCCATATGTATCAGCACTGATCCCCATGATACAACGTGGCCTCACAGCATCACGGGTATAGGTAAGGTCCTTACACATCACACCAGCAGAGGCAGCCAGGGTTTGGGAGCAAGCTGTTTTCTGTCCCAGTATTTACACTCGGTCTATCTATTCCAAGCTGTAGAAGTCAAGACTGCCAGAGGTACAGTGAAGGAGCTTCCCACTTCCTTAACACTGAGTTGGATAGATGTTTATTTTTCCTCTCCAGAAAAGTTATCTGGTCATTTGGCCTACGTGTCTTGTCATTCCCCCATAAGGAAATTAATGTTACAAAAGTGAACCTCCCTTTGCTCTACACCAGCAAGGCTGAGAGTGAGGATTATCTTCAGGATCCCAGTTCCCAGTGTGGAAAGCAGCCTGGGTAAAGGCTAATTTGCTTGGCCTTCTTTTCTCTGCTTTCCTGATTTACATGGGGTTTATGGTGGTATCTGTCCTGCTTTAAGCTGTTCAGTCACATCTACTTTTATGTGGCTCAGAGAAGCAGGAGATACAGATGGATTTATTTCTCATTGGCAGCATCCTTGCTGCTCTCATTCTTGTAACATTTTGCTGCAAATATAATCTCTAAAAATAGTCCCAGCTATGACTTGCCTAAGGTCAGACGAAGGCTGGGTACATTACACTGCAATGAAAACATGAATGTGTGAACAATACTTTCCACTGCAAAAGTAACTCTCGGAGAGAAACAATTGATAAATAAAAATACACCAGTGGCACAGCCCTTACAGTTCTCCAAAACACAGAAAGGACTGATTGCAAAGTTTCTGGCATGGAGCCTGCCTTCACACTGCTGTATGCTCAAATGAACCCCATCCGCATCATGTGTACAGAAAGAAATACATGCTTTGTTTAAGAAAACCAATCATGTCAGAGCATTCATATCCAGAATCAGTCTTCATTGTTATTCAGGTATTTGTCAGCTGAGTTTAGCTCATCTCTAACTTGTATATGTCGTGCTTTTCAGATAAATTATTTCTTTGCCTCTTCTTGTCAAATCTGTGAAGCTAGAGGACAGGAAGAAGGGACGGAGAATTCTTCTGATATTTATGAATGTTTGAATGCTGCTTCTGTTCCAACATATCAGTTATCAGGAGCTCTGTATTTTAAGTGATGACTTAGCTAGCCCTGTGGTTTAGTTGATGTCAGTTAGTTATTATCAGTACACAAACTACAACTTTCAGAGCCCTGATCAGAAAGTTTCCAAATTCTTGCCTCAGTAAATTTGATACTTAACATCCAGATGCAGGGGATACACAGATCTGGAAGGTGATGAAACACTTCTCTAGACCTGTGCACTTCTTGATTCCCTGAAACCTGCAAAATTTCCGAAGACCTGGGTTAGGAAAACACACAAAAATGAAATCAGAAATGCTTAACTGAATCTACTGTGGAAAGAAAAGATGCGAATTACAGTCCACAGTCTGTCCACTTTGGTAAATCTTTATTTTTAGACTGTCATGACAGCAAATCAAGTAAGGTTTAAAAATACACAGCTGCTATTTTAGCTGCAGATACATCTGTGTCTGGAGCAGATCTGTTCACTGACAATAACTTCACATTAATAAATCAATTACACTTTATTGTCAGTAAATAGATATTTAATTCAGTTGCAGTGAGTGAGTCAAAACAACACAACTGCTTTCATATTTGGTATTTGCTATGTGTGACTGATCATATATTAAGATTATACATATTATCTGAACTCTTTGCACAGAATCAAGGGAAGTCTCCCATTTTAAAGAACCATCAAAAAGGGCCACCAGCAACCCCAGATCATTACCTGAAAGAGTGCCTCTGAGATGAGACTGCAAACAAACAGAAAACAGTCTTTCTAAGCTTTAAAACATGATAAGGAGCAATTAATAGATCTCAGGAAAATTTGCATCCAAATGCTGGAGCCACAAACATTAAACTTACATATGATGATACAACAGGAAAACATTTTCAAGGAGTACTTTCGGTGAACTTTACAGAGCAGACAGAAGATACTCTCCATTTCTTTTAATCCTTGTACCCAGTATATGGTGTTTACCTCTTTTTTATCATGATATGTAAATCCTGAGCTGAATACAGCATTACTAATTTCTTTACAGGGTTTTAAAATATATTTATTATCTTAGTATCTGAGGGAGGTTTGCAACCAATAATGAATTTATCTTAGCAGTACTAAGGGTTCTCCTGAGGTCAAAAGATACTACTATTTCTATTTGTCAGATGTACAATTAAAACATAGAAAGATTAAAATAAAGTGAACATAATATTTCATACAAATAAATAACTATATACACACCACACATGGTGATGCTGAGCTTCTGATGTTTCACTTGCAGTTGTATGCTCCCTGCACAAAAACCCTGGCAGAGCCAGATGTAGAATCATATTTGCTAGGAGAACATCTAAAAATCCTTAAACTAGAGATTTTTATCTCCTTTCATGCAGTGCACTTCCTCAATCACTACATACTTAACCTCAGTGAGAAATCAGGCTCAGGTCTCCTTTTACTAAACAGATATATTTATTTCTTGCAGCTGAAAAAGAAAACACTACGCCGTTGGAAACCATTCAGTTTGGCATTGGTACATGATCCTTGGGAGCTTAAGTTTTCTGAAGTCCTGTCCTTCCATAGAAAAATAAAAAGTGAATCCAAGAATGCCATCACCTGGAATCACAGTGACCCCTAAGCTAACTGAGCCCCACATCTCAACACCCACAGCAGGCACAGCTACAGCCTAAGTGACTGTCTTGGTGTTAGGCAGAGTGGGTCACTGTCCTCCATGGCACACCTTCATTGCACACCTGCTCTGCAGTTGCCATTCAGACTGATCTTGCGTGTACGTATTGCCAGCCAAGCTTTAAATGCGTCAGGCAGTGAATATGGTACACCATATTCAGCAGGTGGAAAGGGAGAAAAAAAGCTATAGATTAAATCTCTATCAATAACATTAATAACCTTCTAGTAAGCATGTGCAAGACAGTTCCTTTGAGGCTCAGACCTTGAACAAGTTCACATGGATTTCATAGGGCCACTTTGATTCCAGGGCAGTCCTCCTGGTCATCCTCAAATCGTCAGTGTAAGACATGCAGAGTGAAAAGGTTTTCTGAGAGACAACTGACCCAGATAAACCCAAAGCTGGAAGGATGAAGCTGTGACAATTAGGGACATACTCTGCATTTTCTAGCTGGCTGAGGCTGTGGTGTTTCATGGCAATAACCACTAGTTCAGAATTACTGAATGAGTTGGAATTGCTTTATAGTGGAAAAAATATGCTTTAAAATTACAGGGATGGAGTAGGTCCACAGTGTAGTGCATCAGCATGGCAAAGACTTCAATCAACATCCCTTGCTTTTCTTCCAGAGCACACCTGCAGCTCAGTTTTTTACAGCAGCACATCAGCGCCTCTTCAGCTCCCTAAACCTGGCAGGCAGGACCACGGAGCTCAAGACAAGCTGTCTCACCATCAGGAGTCCCCTTCACCTGGTAAAACTTGCTCATGCAATTTCTGTCCAGTGAACTGCACTAGTGCTGTTAAAGGAGGAGCAGGGGAGGGTTCAGAGTAGTGAGGCACAGGTTACACAAGGCACTGCTGCTAGAAATCCGACGCTGCACTCCCTCCTATGAGCAATATTACTTGCTTCTTCCTATCTGGTGCAATGCAGCCATAGCTCACCTAAGACATACCCACCCCAGACTTCCAGATGCTGAAGTGGTCCCATGGGCTTGAGGTACAGTGCAGGGCAGGCCAGCAGCAGGGTCTTGTGTTGGACATGTTGGGGAGTCTTATGGGAGACAGGCAAGATGGGAAAAAGGGGGAGGTTGTGACATGGAGCTGCTCCACTGCTCCTTGTATGTGTGAGGGGTCCCTGTGCTGTCCTTGGTAGAGACACAAGCTGGCAGACTCACTTTGCATCGATAGCTGGGAAATAAGTTTGGGTTTGGTTTGAGTTCAGCAAGTGCTTTAAAATAACAGCCTCTGGTTTAGTTGCAGTATGAGGGTTCTTTTTCAGGTTCTGTTTTATGCCCTGGTAACAATTTCATTAACATATGTTTCTGAAAACCTCTTGAGATAATAAAGTCAATAGTTTTAAGCAAAACAAAAGAAACCCAGCCGAAGGCAGGTGCCCAGCACAGAGAATTTCAGAGCTACTGGTGAAGGTCTGAGTCATAAGAAACAAAAGAGAAAATATTCCTGAATAAAAATTGCTAAGCAGCCACAACTCTAAATGGTACAGTAGTACCTGTAAATCTTACATCACCATCATTCAGTCAGTCTGGATTACCAACACAAAGTTTGCAGTCTGAATCTACAAAAACCACCAGATCTAAGTTTTAGCATTTTGGCCACAAGATTGCTCTTGCCTCTCCTCTGCCCCTTACTGTATTTCCTTTTTCTACTTCTCTCAGAGTTTCTTGGAAATTACAGAAATAGAAGTTTCAATTTCTTATCTATCCTGCTGCTGAAGCTCTCATCATAGAATCAGATTCTTAGTCTTTTAAAACCCCAGCGCTGCAAACTACGGCTAATCCACTGAATGCATGATGGAGTTTGTTATTATTTTAAGAGTAGCTTGTCACAGAAGCATTCATAGTTACCAGCTTCCTCTGTTTTAGGGTGTCATTTAAGACATCTCGTGTCTGATTATTCTACTTCCTCTTAATTACTAGGGCTGTTTTGAGGATGTATTGATTTTCATATCTCAATACAGTAACCACTGCATTGCATAAGGTTTGACCTTATAAATATAGGTTTATATTTATATATAAAGACTCCAACTCTATGTACAAAGCCTTACCTTAATCATAGAGTCCCTGTGTGTGTATCAAACACTTGCTCTCCTGGTTGTGCTCAGCTGGGTTGAAATGAGGTGGGTAATGGAGAATTGCAAGCAAAGAAAGAAGAGAGAATGGGAGAGCACAGAGCAAGCCCAGACAGAACAAGTAGTTTTGGGATGTTAAAAATAAAACCCCGTGCATGTGACTGTGTAGCTCAGCTTACAGAGCAGTCTCTTGCACTGTATTTGTTAACACTGTCACTTCTGGAGTGATACTTCACACAGATGGGAGAAGCAGAACCAGTAATGTTCTGTGTCCCCTCCATGAGAAGAAAAAGATCAAACCATTTCCCAGAGCCCTGTATCAGCTCCCTGTCACTCTCTGGTGGAGGTTTGCCCTTTACAGCTTAACTCCCTTTGGTGCCCACAATAGTCTATGCTTTCTGCTCTTAGAATTGTCACCATGCCCATGCTCCCATCATCACCAACACGAGAAGCTGATACAGACAGTGATGGCAGGTTTCTCCTCTGCCTGGGCAGGGGTGGGCAGAAAGGGAGCGGCAACAGTGCAGAGCTGAGTAGCCAGGCAGATGTGCCTGGCCAACTCCTGGGACCCCTACGAGACTCCCCAGCTCCAGCCCCTCCACTGCACAGTGAAAGGGTCCCACCAGCCACTGGGAGGAAGCCTGAAGGGTACCGCTCCCAGTGTCACCCTTCCTCAGCCAAACCTGAGGAAGCAAAGGAGAGCAGTCACGTTTTACTGAGTGTGCACCCATTAAAGCATTTCATGGTGAGTTTCATGATGAGCATTTCATACTCATGGTGAGTACAGTCATACGGGAACCACTACGTGTCAGCGGGGCTCAGGGGTGCAGATAGGGCATGCACTGCTTCTCCCTGGTCAGTGCTCACCCTGCAAAGACACCTCCTGTGACCTGCTGCCATATGTGACCACTTTTTAGCACCTGAGTAACACAGAACATCTTTTGGCTGTGGTGGTGGTGGCGGCTCTGAGACCCTAAGTCACAATGAACTGGTTACTTTGCCCTTTCTCTCTCTATCTGTGAGGCCCCAGTGACTCTCATAATTTGAAACAGTGCAGACAACTGTGGTTTTGCTTTTAGGGCTGAACAAAATGTCAGCAGGTGACAACCAAGGCTTGCTGGTGCCAATCGTAATTTAGTAGTGCTAAATATGGTTAGCAATCTGGCTCCATGGCCTTTTTTAGAAAGGGCTGTACTATCGTGATACCAGTTTCTGTCATCCCATTGGACTGGGGAAAATGGGCCAGTGGTAATATGCCTAAACCCAAATTTCACCCAATCACATCATGATCACTGATCTGTTTACCCTGTCCACTTCCCCTCTCTCCTGCCCCCAGTCAGTTCAGGGTCATTCTTCAACCTTCAACACCGTCATCATCCTTTTAGACTGTGTTTAAAACCATGCTGCTTGTGTGCCTCACTTTATGTGAAATAAAACTTCTCAAAAGTTTGTATTACTGGTGAGGAGTAAACTCCCTCCCGCTGAACTGACCCAGATTACTAAAATATTTGCAGCTTCAGAAGGAGCTGGATTTAGATCTCTGTGTTTACAGACAGTCTGAACCCTGGCAGTACTTTTTATGGTTTCTCTGTGTTGCCCAGTGATCACACAGACCCAAGCAGCCTGCCCTGGGCCTGCCTTACACTGTTGGGTACTCTGCCTCGCAGCCTGATGCAATACAAACCTCTCAAGTTTTGCAAATCCTCACCTGCAGGTGATGGCTATACTCCAAAAAGGCACCATCTGTGGTGGCCTTTTAGGGCAGGGGGTTACAAGAGATGCAGAATGAATATAGTTCACTGTGCCTCAAAATGTGTATGTGGTAGAGAGAAGGGAGCAGAAGAGTGAAGGCAATGGGAAACATGAATTTCATCCTTGTACCTGCGGCACACCATTGCGTTAGCTCAGCTGCACCTGAAACCAGGCTCTCAGCAAAACCAGGAGGACTTGCAGATCCCAGCTGCTGCCCTTACCTGTGCTAATGTAATTCAAGGTATCTCAGGAATGCCAACCAGTGCTGTAACCAGACCTCCTGCTGCAGTACAGATGTGCTTACTGGTAGGATGTGAGAAGCCTGAAATCTCTGACAGAAAATTGTTTTAGTTATTTTTTTTGGTGCAAATACTGTAGGAGAAAGCTGTTGCCTGCCTTCTTTAATCTCCCTTATCCCAATTCTGTGGGTAAAAATGCTGCGCTATATAGGCACCCTATGAAATATACCTATGTATTTGATATGTATATCATATATGTATATCATATATGTCTGTCCTGTATGTCATCAATGTCTATGTGTACGTATGATATGTATACAAATGCATGTATCCATACAGGAAAACAGGGCAGCGTGCAAAAGGAATTTAATGAGAAGATGGGACCGACACGGGACATGACCAAACCACCTCAAACCATTTACATGCAATCAGTCCTTTTCAGTCCCATATCCCTGTTTTCCCACACTTGATCCTGTGCACATCACCTAGATCCATCCTTTTCCCGCCTTTGGCTCCTCCCGTGAACACACCCTTATGAATCCTGTGCAATCCCCACTCTTCCCCTGTATCACATCATGTGTCCCACAGCCCTGAACACAGCAACCCCCCAGCCCTAAAGTCACTTTGGGGCTGAGGGTCCCCTGGGAGGGTCCCAGGATGTCCCTTCCTCTGAGTGCTTAATTTGGGTTCCCACCTGCCACGGTGCCCCTGGGGTGGGTTGATGGCTCCTGGGATGGGCCTGGGAGCAGCTCAGCAGGGTGCTGTTTGGGGTCCCCCGACTATTATCTCCTTGTGCTCCTCTGTGGGTGTGCAAACGAGGTTTTAGCACACAGACTAAACCATGTATCTACCTCAGCATTCAACATCGCTGAGCAGTGGCTCTTGTGTTTTTTTGTGCTAACTATACGCCCTGCAGCCCCGCTGTACGCGTGCCCGCCACGCCGCCGCATTGCGCTTTACGATCAGCTGTGGAGCTGCGAAATGGCTTCGCTCTCCACCGCACCTTCAATGCGCGCAGCTTGTTGCGATGCGGTTTGTGGTGACACGACAGCGGGAGCACTAACTGAAGTGGAAGTATCAGCTCCTTAGGTCATCCCGGGCTGGAAACACCCCTGGAGAACGGGGTGTCCCTGTCCGTTTTAACCGCTGCCGGTCATGAAGCACGATACGGCCTAACGCCGCTGCGCCATCGCCGCAGGGCTCCGCAGCTTAACGCCCGGCCGCCATCGCTCCTGAGCGGGCTGTGAGCCCTGCCACCTGCGCACTGCCGTCGCCAGCCAGCGCCGGCCAGGCAAGGAGGGTGCGGCGCTCGCGCGCCTAGGGCCCGAGAGGAGACAGCGCCGGGCCGGGCCGCGCCGGCAGCAGGTACGGGGGGGTGGGGCGAGCCCCGGCTTCGGGGCGGCTGCGCGGCGAGCCGGCAGGGGTGTGGATAGCGGTGGAGAGCGGCAGCCGGGCGGTGAGCGGGGCGCGAGAGGAGGCCCGGCTCCGGGCGGCGGGAGGCCCGGGTTGGGGGTGCTGCCGGCGGCGGCGGCGGGAGCGGGCGGGCCGCGCGCGCGCAACAGGCTGGGGCCGCGCGGGCGGGGCGGAGCCGGTGCACTGGGAGCTGCGCGCGTGGGCTGGGGTCGCGGCCCGGTCCCACTCCCGCCCGCCCCGGGGGTGCGGGAGCAGAGGGAGGGAGTCCCGGGGAGCGGCAGGGCCTGCGCCGGCGGCCCCCCCGGGGCTGGGGCCGTGGCGGTGGCGGTGGCGGGCCGCGCTCAGCGGGAGCGCCGCGCCCCGGCCGGAGGAGCCGGCAGGGTGGCGGCTATGGGGAGTCGGAGAACTCCGTGCCGCAGGGACGGGCTTCGTGCTGGGGGAGGGGGGTGTGAGGAGCGGCAGTGCCTCGGCTCGAGGGGGAAGGAAGGGAAACTTTTCTCTGGGTCTCCCAAGATTGTGCGGTTGTTTTTTGTTAGCGATCTTAGTTGATGTTACAAAAGCTGTTCCTTCTCCCTGCATACATCAGCCTATATCCCCGCCGCACCATCATCTCATCGACTAATACGCGACGAGGCTTTTGCGCCTTCTCGGTAGCCGTGGTGGCCGTTTCCAGCTGTCATGTCTTTGTAGACCTTAATAACCACCCGAAACGTATCCCATTCATAATCTTTCGATTTGTACTGCTCGTACAAGAATACACGTAACGATGATTTTAAGCTTTGCCTCATGAGGGCGTTTCACGAGAACTGAAACTCCAAGCTAAAAAGATACGTCATGGCCTGTGAAAGTACCGGGCTGCTGTTTCTGCAGAATTCCCAAATGGTGCTGAATGGTTGTGTTTAACGCTCCCTTTATCCTTTAGTCAAGCTGCCGTATGTCCGGAATTTTTTGTTTGCTGGCATGTTTTCTGCTCTCAGTGCTTAATGTTGATGAAAGATTTAACAAAGTCGGATATTTTGATGAGCTGTACGGAACTGGGATTGCAGTTTTACCCCCATAAACTAGTTATTTTAAAGCCATTTTGAATATACCTGTGGCAGTTAATATTTAGAAGAGTTAATAGAACACTGTAAATTTGTAATTTGAATCAAGCTAATCTTTGGTGTATCTGGCTTTGCTTTAATTGTTCTTACTGCAGCATGTGCATTGACATGTGAACTAGCTCATTCAAGACAAGTTTGTTTTTACTTGAAGTGTGGTTGAACCTTTTAATTACCCTTTAGACGTACCCACGGGCTCAGGGAAGTGAAGAGTAGCTTGAGGCATAGTAACATAAGATGACAGGAGAAGTACGGGCTTTTCTCAGCATGGGTTCCCCGTGTCATAATCTTGCAAGCAGATGCACTGATGCTTCACTTCCAAGAAGCCTGGCTATTCTGGGGGCTTGGGACACCCCCCTCCCAGCCTCTAAATAGAGTCTTTGTTATACTCCAGCTCTCCTTCTGATGTACCAGGATGACAGCATTTGGCTGTCAGCGTGCAATCTGATGATATTTTTTTTGTTGTTCTCTGCTGTTATGTTCTCTGTGCCCTGTCTTCAGAGCTAACTTACTTATGTGGTCCTGTGTATTCAGCTGAGTGCTGGTTCCTGGAGAAGTCATTTAGAAAGGGAAAAGCAGCACATGTCAGCAGCACTGAGCAAGGACACTTATAAGAACTGAAAGTATTACAGTCAGACTTTGTAGCAGTTTCTGAAAGGTTCTTTATAGAGACTTTTAAGTGGGAATGTTTGTTTAAGCAGATTGTTTGTTAGTCTTATTT